ATGAAGGTAGAAAGAGGCACGAGGTAAAGTTTTCTTAGGTGGAGATATTACAGTAATAGGTAAATCTATCCCCTCTACTTTATCTGTTTTCCACCAGGTTCATAGATTCTCTAAATCCCCTAATCCTTCAAAACCCTCTTGTAATTATCTACTCACTGAAGGTTCTCTAAATCCCTCATCACGACCGAAAGAAACCACCCTGCTCCTCCTTCCTTCGTTCATCACCACAAACAACCACACTATACCACCAAACGACGACCACTACACCCCTGGTTTTTTCCTATGCTCACTAACCTCCACCCCCGTTTTTTTCTACTGCAATCGAATGAGCGAAAGATGTATTCCATTTTATCCTAGCCATATAAAATCTCAGTTTGTTCATCATTTTGTTTGAAAAATGTTTGTTCTCTTTTGTTGATTTTTATATTCTCTTTGTAGAAGATGATACAAATCTGGTCATCTGGAATAAATTTAGTTCAAAATTCAGAAGATGAAGCACATCGGGTTCTTTTCCCTTATCTATCTATTTTTTTGGTTTTGATATGTTTCGTTTTGATGTAGATATAATCTGAGTTCATGTGTGTTTTTTGAAGTTGCTTGTATAGGCTCATGAACTCATAGATAAGCACACGAAAGTTTCATCTCTTTATCTGTTTTGTGAAGAATATTAGAGAAGTTAGAAGAGATTTTGAAAGAAGTTCAACATTTAAGTGTGAATTGAGGAATTCTTCATACGACACCAAAAAACCAGACTCTGAAATCATCTTTTCACTCTGTTAGGTTCGTAAACCTAATTTTGAACCTAACCCTAATCTTAATTGTTTTAGTTTCTCAAATTATCAATTTTAACCAAACCTCAAGTGTTAGATTCAATTTCGTTGTATTTTGAGATTAATTAGATATTTATGGGTTTTTAATGTTTTATTCGGGTGTTTTTGTGGAAATGATCATCAAGAAGTAACTTTTCTTCCTTCTTCTTTCTTTAGGTTATGACCTCTAATTTTAATAACAAAATGATTGTTGGTAAGACTTTGATTATGGTGTATACAGTTCAATTATGCAAATATATCTATATATACATATGTCAGAATGAAGAAATGATGTGCTCTGCTCATGATGTTTCTTCCCATATTACCATATAACAATATGTTGACAGGTGGAGTAAGGCTTAGATGTTGCATTTGATTTCTTTTTTACAATTCTACAGAGAAACAAAATGGCCTAGATCCAAGCAGCACTCCAATGGCCTATCATGGTAAGTTAATAAGATGTAGTTGTATTTATGGGTTTCCTGGCTTAGTTGTTGATTCATGAAGTTTTATATTTCTAAAAATCATTTGATTCTTTTCTTGTACACAATAGGTTTTAGTTGATGTTTTGTGCATATAAAACCCAATGACCAGATGTAATTCAATGACACGATGTAAATTCCATCAACGTGGTGTGGTATGTATCCAATTAATAAGACAAATACCAGTAATAATGTCTTTTTTGTTTTATGGGGCTAAAATTCAATTTTCATAATCACTCTTTTTATGATTTACCAATTATATTCTTTACCCTACAGTTGTGGTGATTTTTTGTTATCTTAATGCACTAATCAAACACATATTTGTGGGGTTTTGTCATAACACATGTGATCAAAAGGTTGATGTCCAGTCTTGTTGCTGCCCCAAGAAGAAGAAAGAGGATGGTTTGGCTGATAAGGTGGAAATTAAGTTAATCGAGATGAGGACCTGAGAGATTCAGGTCAAATCTTTTTCTTGGACAATTCCAAATGAAGCATCAAGCAATTATGTAGTTTTTACTTATCCAAAATCAGCTACTCTTACCCCAAGCAGGCTAAAACTAGCACGATGGATAGAGGTATTTGTGTCTTTCGTTCTTCTCATAAATATAAAATATCACAATTATGTATTTATTTAGGTATTGTAAACATGTTATACCATTTTTAAATTTTTTTTAAATATAGATTCCTTCAGCTCAGTAATGGATGGAAGTTATATATTTTTTTTTAAACTTTGGATTTGGTATTGTATTTTGGAGCTGATTTTGTTTCATGATTGAATGAGTTTTGAACAGATGGAATATCTGGAATTTCTTTTCTTGCAACATAAACAAGTTTCTAATTAAAGTAGCAGCAGGTCGATTTTGGTTTTCATTTGTGTAAAGGGACTTGTGATTTTGATTTTTTGAGAATTAGATCGAGACTTTGGGCTTATGTGTAGCCCCTATCCAAACTTATCTCAAACCCCTCGATTATAAATTAGTTTTCATTATGTAGATTAAGTTTTTTTTTTTTTTTTTCGGTTAATCATTTTAGGAGTAAGTGGTGTTTTTGAATTATATAAGAAACTTACATAACACTTGCGGCAATCGAAAGACAAATTAAGTAAATCTAGGCGACAAAAATTGACTAATTTCAAGACACTTGCCATATTGTACAAGATGTTATCATTTTGTACGGTAATTATAAAAAGAGTAAATTACACGAATGGTCCTTATGGTTTGGGGTAATTTGCATGCTTGGTCCCTAATTTTGTTTTTTTTAACTCAGAAGGTCCCTACTATTTGTTTTTGTTATGCATTTGGTCCCTACTATTTGTTTTTGTTACGCGTTTGGTCCCTGTCTTATATAAAAAGACTATTTTTTAAATAGGGAAAAATGGTAGGGTAGGTAAGGTAAGGTGAGAGGGTGGGGTTGAGGGTGTATTTATTTAAATAAATTAAAAAATCAAGGGCAAAATAGTCTTTTTAGGTAAGACAGGGACCAAACGCGTAACGAAAACAAACAGTAGAGAACTTTCGAGTTAAAAAAATAAATTAAGGACCAAACACGCAAGTTACCCTAAACCATAGTGACCATTCGTGTAATTTACTCTTATAAAAAATTTATAAAATTTTACTTGTCACATTTAAACTTCAGCCATAAATACATGCATTAGCCCAATAAAAAAACAAGTACATAGATAAATAAATTCTAAGTTTGAAATCTAACTACTTGAAGTTCTTAATCGGAAGTTTCATTTAACATTAATATCTTTCAAAAATATCTTTCAAAATAACAATTTAACATTAATATCTTTCAAAAAGTTTCATTTTTAAGATTCTAAAATTATAAATAGATAATAAATTATAAAAGGCAATTATAAAACTTACTACTTTGGTAATTATAGAAGTTCTTAATCGGAAGTTTCAAGTGTTTGAAAAGTAAATCCGTTTCAACTCTTTACGTGTATCATTTAGTTGATGTTGTGGTATTATGTATTGACGCTAAGGATGAGCGTTTGGACGGTAAATACATTTCATATTTTGTTTGAACGACTAAAATATTTCATATTTGTGTCGTTTTGAACCGTTTCTTTTTTACTGATTATCTGATGTATCATGTTGCAAATAACACCAAAGTTGGATTCTATTGACTTAGATATGTATTATCTTTGGAACATGATATTTTTGTAAAAAAAACATATAGTCTAAATAGATTATTCATTGTCGCCGCTTTGCGCGGGTCCACCACTAGTATATATATATATATATATATATATATATATAGATATATAATATATATATATATATATATATATATATATATATATATATATATATTATATCTATATATAATACTATTAAATATTTAAAATCTTAAAAACAAGTTGTCGTTATAAAATGTCGGTCACGTTAATAAACTCAACTTAAGATTCTGTATATCTACTCAATAATCTTATATGTGTCATGCATTTTCATGGATTATTTGAACTTAAGAAAAATTAACAAATAATAGTTAAAATGGTTTTAACACGAGGTTGTAACTTAAGAAAATAGTTATTCAATATTATAAATTTAAGTTTATTCAAAAAAATAAAAAGGGGACGTCACATCGTTTTTTATCAAAACAAAAAGGGTATAAGTAAAACAAATGGCCCCACCACTAGTACTCATCAAAATTTTGACCAATGAAGAATCATGGGGCAGTTCAGAAATTTCCGTCTCCGCCATGGAATCGCTGCTGAGCATTGGCTTTGACTCCTCACAGTAAACATAAATTGGTGGAAGAGGAGACCAGATGATGGAGGATTCTGGTCGGCAATGTTTATCTCTGTCGAAATGTAACAACAATTGATGGCTGGCGGAGTTGGTAACGTTGGAGAAACGGTGGATGTAGTAAGAGAAGAAGGCAATGAAGAAAACTCGAAGATTTTTAAATAGTTGATTCTTGTCCACTGAGGAGTGGGGTTCAGCTGTTCATCATTTTTCTTTGATACAAAGAATTATGGGTCCATGGGATTTTTACATCGTCAAGTTTCAGTTTGCAATGTTTGGTAAACAATTTTCAATCTATCATCTTTTCGTTGAAACTTCTCAAGCAACTTGCAACTTTAGGGGCCACGGGCATTAATTTAATCCACATCTTTTTACTGTAAACAATAATTGAAATTCCAATTCATCAACATCTCTTAATAATTGAAATCATTCTCTCGTTGCATCCTTTCATCCACATCTCTACTATATTCTCTGCTCTTACCATAAACAATGGCCGAAAGCATTCTTTCTGCCTTCTTGACAGTGGTCTTTGAAAAGCTGGCCTCTGAACCCTTGAAGAAGATCGCTCGTTCCAAGGGAATTGATTCTGAGCTCAAGAAATTGAAAAAGACATTAGACCAGATCCAAGATCTTCTTAATGATGCTTCTCAGAAGGAAATAAATAATGAAGCTATTAAAAGATGGCTGAATGGTCTCCAACATTTGGCGTACGACATTGACGACCTACTTGATGATTTGGCAACCGAAGCTATTCATCGTGAGTTGATCCGGGAATCTGGAGCCTCCACCAGCATGGTAAGAAAGCTAATCCCAAGTTGTTGCACAATTCTCTCACTAAATAGTAGGATGCATGCCAAGTTAGATGATATTGCCACCAAGTTACAAGAACTAGTGGAGGCAAAAAAATAATCTTGGTTTGAGTGTGATTACAAATGAAAAGCAAAAAATTGAAAGATATGAGACGTCTTTGGTGGGTGCAAGTCGTATTGTTGGACGTGAAAGTAATAAGAATAAATTGCTTCAGAAGCTGTTGGGGGGGTAAAGATGAATCCCGGAGTCAAAACTTCAGCATCGTGCCCATCGTTGGTATGGGTGGAGTTGGTAAAACAACTCTAGCTAGAATGTTGTATGACGAAAAGGAAGTGAATGATCACTTTGAAATCAAGGCTTGGGTTTGTGTTTCTGATGAGTTCAGTATCCCCAACATAAGCAGAGTTATCTATCAATCTGTAACCGGGGAAAACAAGGAATTTGCAGATTTAAATCTGCTTCAAGAAGCTCTTAAAGAGAAACTTCAGAACAAACTATTTCTAATAGTTTTAGATGATGTATGGTCTGAAAGCTATAATGATTGGGAGAAATTAGTGGGCCCATTTCTTGTAGGGTCTCCTGGAAGTAGAATTATCATGACAACTCGGAAGGAGCAATTGCTCAGAAAGCTGGGTTTCTCTCATCATGATTGTTTGCAGGGTCTGTCACATGACGATGCATTGTCATTATTTGCTCAACATGCATTGGGTGTAGATAACTTTGATTCACATCCAACACTTGGACCATATGGTGAAGGGTTTGTGAAAAAATGTGATGGCTTGCCTTTGGCTTTACAAACACTTGGGAGGTTATTGAGGACAAAAACAGATGAGGAAGAATGGAAGGAGCTGTTGGGTAGTGAAATATGGAGGTTGGAAAATGGAGATGATATTCTTCCGGCTCTTAGACTAAGCTATCTTGATCTTTCTGCCTCTTTGAAGCTGTTGTTTGCATATTGCTCCTTGTTCCCCAAGGACTATGTGTTCGACAAGGAGGAGTTGATTCTGTTGTGGATGGCAGAAGGGTTTTTGCAACACTCTACTACAAGCAAGTCCATGGAACGCTTGGGACTCGAATATTTTGAAGAGTTGTTGTCGAGGTCCTTCTTTCAACAATCTTCTAATGATGAATCTTTGTTTGTGATGCATGACCTTATGAATGACTTGGCCATGTCTGTTGCTGGAGATTTTTTTTTCAAGGTTAGACATTGGGATGAAGAAGGAATCTAGGAAGGAATCTTTGGAAATTCACCGCCATATGTCATTTGTTTGTGAGAATTACATGAGTAACAAAAGGTTCGAGCCATTCAAGGGAGCTAAAAGTTTAAGAACATTCTTAGCGTTATCTGTTGGGGTGGTAGAAAGTTGGGATGTATTTTACTTATCAAATAAGGTCCTGAATGACTTACTTCATGAGTTACCATTGTTAAGGGTCCTAAGTTTGAGTAATCTTAACATATGGTGGGTACCTGAGTTCATTGGTAGTTTGAAGCACTTGCGGTATCTTAATTTATCTCGAACTTGGATCACACATTTACCGGAAAATGTCTGCAATCTTTATAATTTACAGACACTGAATGTTTCTTGCTGTCATAAATTAATTAAGTTACCAAAAAGCTTCTCAAAGCTTCAAAATCTACAGCATTTTGACTGTAGGGATACTCCACTTTTGAAGAAGATGCCCTTAGGGATTGGTGAGTTGAAAAGCCTACAAACTCTCACCAAGATCATTGTTGGAGTGGAAAACCGTTTTGCATTAACAGACCTTAGAAAATTGAAAAATCTCCATGGGAAAGTTTCCATTCTGGAGCTTGGCAAAGTGCAAAATGCAATGAACGCACGTGAGGCGAACTTATTGCAAAATCGATTCAGTGAGTTAGAGTTGGATTGGGTAATGTGTTTAATTCATTTAGAACGGAAACAAATGAAAAGGAGGTGCTAAGTGAGTTGAAGCCTCATACTGACACTTTGAAAAAGCTTGATATCAGGTTTTATAGGGGTATAGAGTTTCCAAATTGGGTTGGGGATCCCTTGTTTCTTCGGTTGACTCATGTGTCAATACGTAACTGTGTAGCATGCACATCACTACCATCACTCGGGCAACTACCATCACTTAAGGAGTTGGTTATTGAAGGCATGGATGAGGTGAAAGTTGTGGGTTTGGAGTATCTTGGGACTTCTGATCTTGCATTCCCTTCACTTGAAATTCTACGTTTTGTTGATATGAAGGGGTGGGAGGTATGGTCAGCAGAAAGTGGTGGGGTTGGACATGCAACGTTTCCCTGCCTTCAAGAGCTTACTATACAAAGTTGTCCTAATCTACTTCAAGTATCACTTGGAGTACTATCTTCACTGAGAGTTCTATACCTAACAAAATGTGGTCATGGTGTGTTGACAAGTCTGGTTCATGTAGCTTCATCTATCACAAAGTTGGAAATATCTGGCATTTCAGGGCTTACTGATGAACTTTGGAGAGGTGTTACAGAGTATCTTGGGGCAGTTGAAGAAGTAAGCATCAGAGGGTGTGATGAAATAAGATACTTGTGGGAATCTGAATCAGAGGCAAGTAAGGTTCTTGTGAATTTAAGGACATTGCATGTATCGTCTTGTTCAAATTTGGTGAGTTTAGGAGAGAAAGAGGAGGATAATTGTGGGAGCTACCTAGCATCTCTTAGGACATTACTTGTATACTATTGTAACAGCTTAGAGCATTGCAATTTTCCAGATAGTGTGGAGGATTTGCATATTCGGTATTGTGATTCAATTACATTTGTCTCCTTCCTAACAGGAAGGGGGCAGAAGCTCAAGACACTTTCCATTGCTGGTTGTAAGGAACTACCGGAAAATGAGTTGGGAGGAGGAGAGAAGACTAAGGTGCTTGAATTGAGTTGCTTCATTAACCTCACCAGATTGACAATAGAAGAATGTCCAAATATGGAGTCATTTCCTGACCTTGAGTTACCGAATCTCACCTCGTTAACAGATCTGACAATTCAAAAGTGTACAAGTATGGATGCATCCTTTCCTCGTGGGCTTTGGCCTCCGAAATTGTGTCGGCTTGAAATAGGAGGGTTGAAGAAACCCATCTCAGAGTGGGGCCCACAGAATTTCCCAACCTCACTTGTTGACCTAAGATTATATGGTGGACCATTTGATGATGTGAAAAACTTTGATCAATTGTCCCACCTTCTTCCTTCGTCTCTTACTTCTCTTCGAATACAAAATTTTAGGAAACTGGAATTGGTTTCAACAGGACTCCAACACCTCACCTCCCTCCAATGTCTCTTCATCTTTACCTGCCCAAAGACGAAAGATCTACCAGAAAAGTTGTTGCCTTCACTTCTGATATTGTGGATATTTGGATGCCCAAATCTGAAAGAAAGGATTAGTAGAGGAGGATCTTATTGGCCCTACATCTCCCTTATCCCCTGCTTCAACATACACTAGTAATTACAACTTTATTGTGAAGGTACACCCGCTCTCATGACTTCTTTTAGTTTCACTTTGTATATATTAAGTAAGTTAATTTGCTCATTCCAACAAACTTTATATAAATACAATAGAAATAGAAACATGTATTTCCTCAAAAGTTATGTTTGTGTCTAAAATATCTAGTTGTCTGAATGCTTACTCTTTTCTTTTTATAGTTTCTTTTTGTGGATGAGTAATACTAGGAGGGTTATCACGATGAATTGCAAAATGAATCAAAATGGTTAATCAGCCAAATAATTTGAAATAGGATTGGTTGTAGAATTTTAATTATTTTTTAAAGTTGTAGTACAACATAATTATGAAATAATAATAATAATAATAATAATAATAATAATAATAATAATAAAGTGTAGACAAACCGATTCAAATATGTTCAAATCATGAATATATTTGATGTATCATCTAAGTGTCACCCGGGTTGTACCCATGTTACAATGGCAATCTATATGTTGTTTAACAAGTGATGCATTTTATCCATGATTAATGAATAATGATAATGGATTTTCATTAAATAGGTCCATTTACAGACCTTTAATTCTTCAAATATGATTCCATATATTTATGAAACAGTCATGAACAGAATTCTTCTTTATCTTTAGGTGTACATTTGTCAAATTTCATTTCTACAGTATTTGATTTAAATTCATGGCTAATTAATCGAGTTCAAATGTATTATTCTCACACTTCCACACTTACAGCCAAGCAATAAAAGATGAAAGGTCAGTGGACGCAATGAATTCTGAAATGAAAGCATCGAAGGAAATAAAAGATCAGAAATTGATGGTTTTCAAAGGAAGACTTTTATATGGTGCTACTTCTGTCTACAAGGTTTGCTTCTATCAGACTCACAAACCCCTATAAAATTTTAATTCAGTTTTTCTTGTTCTAAATTTGTTTAAAATAGAATCTTGATATATAGGTATACATATATCTCATTGTCAAATTGATTACTAAATTTCTAAAGGCAAACTAAATAGGAATTATTATATGATTTATTTTCTGATATTTACTTGTTTTCTAGACTTGATTAAACCCAAAGAGGAAGAGAAGTTCTTGTTTTCATCAAGAGACATTGAAAACATAGCAAAAACAGAGAACTTCATCTGCTGTTCCACGAAGTTAAAAATAGAGTCCATGTAACTTTTGACTTTCATTGAATGATGTATAAATTTAGTAACTCATCTTGCTTTCTGAAAATATTATTTGTCAACAGACAAAATGCATTTCTGCTTTTTATTTACAACAAGATTTGACTTTTTATTTTATTTTATTTTATTTTATTATTATTACTGTTTTGCCTTTTTTCACTCTCCATTCTTGTATACATTCTTTGGATGCATTAGTATTTGATTGACACCTAATGATACTACTATTCTAAATCTATTGTAGACACCATATTGCTGTTTAATTGGGAGTGATATCCTTTCGAGACTTCCTCCTGTATAATGACAATCCTTTTGAAGGTGTATAAAAGACTAGATTATATTAACAGCAATGCAGCATGTACATTAAGTAAGTATATATTTTATTTAAGGTGATAATATTAACACCACATTTCTTTGTCTAGAAAGACTATGCATGATGCTTAATAATTAGTTATATCATTATGTTTTGATGTTTGATAAATTCATAACTTAACAACAAACTTTTGTTCAGCTTTAAATGTTTAATCAAATTAGAGAGTTAGAAGGAGCTACATGAGCATATACTTAGCTTTAGATGCTAAATTAGAAGGAATCATCAAGCCTTTAGGCTCACTTTATATTTTGTGAAGTAAAATAAGCTTGTGTTTGGGACTCAGTCTATGGTGTTAAACCGCTCTTTTACATAAATTCCTGGAACCACTCAAACTTTGTACTACACATGCATCTTGTATTGGAATTTTGTTACTCTGTTTTGCTTTTGTACAAGTTTTTCCATCATATTGTCATCAATTTTAATTATGAAATAAAAAACAAGTTTTATAATCGATTTAACACTTAAAAAACAAACTAACAGCTGTTAGCAAGCTGTATATGACACATTGGCAATCCAAGCTTCGACAGTTACAACCATCATTTTCACTACATACAACCATCATATATAGCTGATGACGATCCAAGCACCGGTTAGCACCCATCAGATAAGGCCATCAATATCATGCACCCACTGATAAACAACTAAACTTGAGAAACAAAAATCTAGCCTAGAAAAAAGTGGTATGTGACATCCATTAGTTATAATCTTTTAACTAAAATAGTACCACTACAAGAAAAATCCTAAATAGCTACGAAAACTTGCTACGGAATTGAGATCCGTAGTTATTCTATTACGGAATGTGCTACAAAATGGCTTTTCGTAGCTATTTTGCTACAGAAATGGCTACGGAGTTACATTCCGTAGCTAAACTAGGAATAACTACAAAAAGTTACTACGTAATCAAAATTTGTAGATATTATACTACGAAACATGTTACAAAATGGCTGGCCTAGCTAATTTTCTACGAAAATAGCTAGGGAGTTGCATTTCTGTAGCTAAATCTTGAATTGTTGCTACAAAATCAAAATTTGTAGCTATTTTACTATGAAATATACTACATGGTTGTTGGTTGTAGCTAGTTTGCTACAAAACTTGTTACATAATCCGTTTTCGTAGTTAGTTTGCTACAAAATCGGTTACGGAATAAAAATACTTAGCTAGTTTGCTATATAATAGAAATTCGTAGCTACTTTGTGACGAAAATTTGTTACACAATAAACTAATCTACCACGAAACTTGTAACAGAAATGTTAACCGTTGTTATTTGTGTATCTAAGTTCTTTATGAATTTGCAAAATAGCTACAGAATCTAAATCTATAGCTATGTGGCTACGGAATATTTCGTAGTGAATTAGTTACAGAATATACTTTGGTAGTAAAATACAAAAGAATATTTAACCAAAAAAAATAAATTAATGTTGTTAATTGTGTTATGATTTTTAATTATAATTTAATTATGGTTAATAAAATTCTTTACATATTATTACTAGTTTTTTATTTATTCTTATTATCATTATTTTGTTATATATATATATATATATATAATATATATATATATATATATATATAATATATATATATATAGATATATATATATATTATATATATATATATATATATATATCATGGGCGGCTCAATCATTTTGGGGCTCTAAGCGAGCCAAAAAATTGGGGCCCTTTAGCCTTTACTATACTCGGAAATCGAAAACAGATGATTGGGGCCAAAAAATTAGGGCCCTTTCGCAGAAATCAGAATCAGTAGAAGAATGCAAAGTCGTTTCAGTTTCATAAGTGCAACGATCGTTGAATTATACTTTTGCTTCGTTTATTTTGTGATTACCGGATTGAATTTTTTAATCGACTAAACCTTTGGACTTTTGAGAATATGGGGCCCCTTAGAATTGAGGGCCCTAAGCCCTACCTTAAAAACCCTCTACATAGAGCCGACCCCGATATATATATATATATATATATATATATATATATATATATATATATATATATATATATATATATTAAAAGTGGAACAACATTTCATGAGTAACTTTTCCCCTTTAGATTTTGGCCACAATAATTTTGGTTTGTTGTCCCTTTTAGTTTCTATGTTTCTATTTGTGTGTTTACAATTTTACCCCATGCAAAGTATGAGTTCTCTATTAGTTAATATATACATATAAAATCACATTGATTTAAGAAACAGAATACCTGTTTATGAGTTTGGCCACATATGTTTTCAAATTTTCAAATGTGGCACTTTAAACTTTTGGGACTTTAGAGTTTGGTCGCACAATTTCTAAAAGTTTGCCCAGTACTTTGTTGAGATTCCTACTGACTTTTTCCCTCAATAAGATTACTATAAACTGCTTCTAAGTTGCTTGACTTCCAATGTTTTCAGATTCCTCCATCCTCTCACTCTCTCTTTCACCTGAACACGAAATCTCTGATACTAACATCTGGCTGCCTCCGAATGCTCTATCAATTATCATCCCTGTCGTCAGCGTTAGGGCACGGCCACCGACTGAAAGTCGGCCATAGGCCAGGTAAAACGAGGATAACCAGTGATGCCCAACAAAAGCCCACCAGAAGAGAGCTTCAGTTTAATTATTCGACTGATTTTCATTTTCTGGCCCTACCGTCACCACCAGCGTGCCACCGTCTGTGCCGTCTCCACTGACTACTCAAATATGGCGGCGATGAACTCAGTTCGTATCGATGCTGCCAAGATGACATCGATTAACGATCTTGCCGCCAGGTATCCCGTTTTCTCTATTTTCTATGAATAAATCGAAGTCAAGTCTCTGTTTTTCTTTCAAAACTTATCAATTTCTTTTATGATCTATTGGTTATAAAAGTATACAGTTCTTGCAACTTCCAAAACACTTCAATTGAACATGATGATAAGGTTTTTATTCATTAGGTTTTGTTCATCTAAAACCCACCCCATTATTGCTTACAACCAATTGCAATGATCAATTCCAGATCAAAAAGTCTCAATTTCTATTCGTTTTTTTATTATAACCTTATGATTCATAGGATTTTGGTAAAAGCTGTTACAATTTCAAGACCTAACCATCATATTCGGAAACTACCACTCTACATTCAAGGTAAGCAATGATTTCATGCCCTAAACCTCATTCTTGATCTATATTTTAAGCCCTAAACCTCAGTCTTCCATTTCAGTAATTACAAGAACTTATTGTTTTGATTAGTAATTTGATATTATTTTATTTTGTTTTGATCATATGGATGGTGGCAATAATGCATGTAAAAGTTGATATGAGGAAGATGAGAAGCTGAACACCAGTAACATATGGATTTTGGTATGGTTTACCTTTTTTTAGTGATTTTGGTTATCAAATTCTAGGGTTTTGTTGTTAATTGTTTGGGTTTGGTTATTAATTTCTTGCTCATAAAGCTTTCCATGTGTAAATCTGATATGGAATTAAAGTGAATGATCATTATTTAATTAAAATGGTTTAATGACATTGTTTTGCTTAATTGAAGCCAAATTCTCATCTATAAAATATTTATCTAAACCAAGGTAAATGATATGAGTAACACTCCAAGATATATATAATACATGATTATAGCATCTGGATTTTTTATTTTCTTTTCCATACTAGCATTCCAAAATAAAATTTCACAATACTCCTCAAATTAAAACGTAACAGCCCCTTGCATGCATTGAAATGAGCTTCCATTAACTTTATAATCTCTCTTCTTATCTTTTGCTTTATTTGCAACTCTTGTGATATGAATTCAGGATTATAGATCATATAAAAGGGGACAATGGATACTTAACCAAAGAATGAGGAACTATAGAAGTCGTACAGAATGTATGGGGGATATACAAAGGCTAAATGCATCTTTTCTTGCAAATTATGTGTCACTGATTCCACCGGAAGAAGAGAAGGAAATACAGAAGCAACTCATGGCATTATTGGATAAACTTGTTACAAAAGAATGGCCTGAAGCTCGATTGTTTCCTTATGGATCATGTGCCCATTAATTGGATTTCGTAAAAGTGGCATTGATGTTTGTCTTGCAATTGGAAATGCAAATATTGACAAAGCAGAGATTTTGTTGAAGCTTCCTGATATTTTGAAATCTGATAATCTTGGGAATGTTCACGTAATCCTCTTGAAGGGTAAATTGGTCTGTTTAGGTGCTGTTTTCAAAACAAGTTCAATCAATCTCATTATCTTAAACATGAATTCTAAAATTAATCAAAACATAATCAATTCTCAGTTCTCAAAATCTCAAATGACCATTTTGCCCTTATTTCTGTAGGCATTGACTCAAGCCAGGTTCCCATAGTGAGGCTTATGGATCTTACTACTGGAATCCGTTGTGATATTTGTGTAAACAACTTGCTTGCTGCTATAAATACAAAGCTTCTACGTGACTACTCAAAGATAGATGTAATATTTAGACAATTGCTGAAACATCCCAAAAACACAGTCTAAAAATTTCGTTTTTAATTCATTGTGAAAACCATAATATCCAATCTCATAATAAAAACCGTAAGTAGTATGTCTCAAAATATCATAACAAATGTCACATATCAAATCTAGTGTCAAAATATCATATCCAATTATCAGAGTCTAATTCCCAGGCTGAAGACTGTGGTGTGTGCCATGCGATCATCCCGAGCCCTTCCCAGTGCTAGTGGAAGTACCTGAAACCAAAACTGAAACCATAATCACGAAGCTTAGTGAGTCTCCCCAATCCACCACATACCAACTACACATAGCATGCAACTAGGAGATACGAGCCTCACCCACACTCGTGGAGATACGGGCCTCGCCCACACTCCGCTAACTGGGAGATACGGGCCCCGCCCACACTCCACTATCTAGGAGATACGAGCCCCACCCACGCTCCACTGACTGGGAGATACGAGCCTCGCCCACACTCCACTATCTCTGAGGTACGAGCCTCGCCCACGCTCAGCTACTTCGAGATACGGGCCTCGCCCACACTCGGCTATGATGAGATACGCGCCTCACCCGCACTCAACTACTAAACCCAACATACAAGTATCACACAGACAACATGTAAAACTAATCTATTGTTCATACATCATAATCAACTACTACTATGAGATACGGGCCTCGCCCACACTCTGCTAGGATAAGATACGGGCCCGCCCACACTCAGCTACTATCATATCATACTACGGGCCGACCTTGGTGCCGTAGACCTGTTCCTACTGAAGGAGAACTCACATCGTATAACTGGCTGTTGATATCCCGAGTGAGAAATCCCTATCTGCTTCTCCGGCGACTCCCCGACTACAATCACATAACACTCTGAATCAACTGATGATTCCTCATGGAGTAAATGACCAATTTACCCCCTGGTCAAAGTGAAAGTCCTGGTCAGAGTCAAACTTCCATGTTGACTATACTCGCCGAGTCCTACTATGAACTCGTCGAGTTCCCTAACTCACAATTCTTTTACTCGCGACTCGACTCGCCGAGTCAGGGCGTAGACTCGTCGAGTCCCTCCTCTTCCAGATCCTTGTCCTAATTCACCGAGTCCTCTTCCACTCGCTGATTCAACTCATAACTCTCAAATCGGGGAAATCAGGGGTTTGTGATCCGACTCGCCGAGTGCGATGAACGACTCGTCGAGTCCTATGCATGTCTTCACTATACAGTTGATTCTAATCGATTCCAGTGCATCCAATTCATAGATCTGAGCTTCTAGGGCTAATATAACACGTAAAGCTGCCAAGTTTACGTGCACGCATAAAGGTATGAAGCTAAAACACCCAAAATAAGCTAGAAATAGGAACCTAGGGTTTGGAACAAGGCCTTGATTGCATGAAGGTAGCTACTTTGAGCTCCTGGAGCTCAATGATGTCCAGATCTATAGTTCACTACCCTAAGGGAGCTCCAATCTCGGGTTTGGACCTTGAAATGTCCCAAAAGTGGCAAAACAAGCATATATGAAGATCTACTAGGAAAATGAACAAGGTAGAGGCTTTATTACCAGATGAAGTAGTAAATGGAAGCTAGCTTCTAGATCTCCTTCTTCTCCTTTGAACCTTCTCTCTTTCCTTCTCTTCTACACTTCCAAGAATACACCAAATCACTCAAAATCAAGAAGGAATCACTCAAACTCACCAATGGAGGGCTAGGGTTTTGAGGGGGAACGTTCTAGAGGTGCTGGAGGCTGGGATGGGGCTATAATGACATTTAAATAGGGTCCAAACCCTAAAAAATAGGGTTTCATCCAGACTGGCAGACTCACTGAGTCGGGAATATGGACTCGTCGAGTCGCCCCACTAAGTCCACGTGCAATCCCGCTTCTACTCGATGAGTCGGGGCTACTGACTCGTCGAGTAACCCTTAAGAGAAGGAAAAGTCAATATTTAAATTACATACTAGGAACGGGGCGTTACAATTCTCCCCCACTTATCTTAGACTTCGTCCTCGAAGTCTGTTGCCTCTGAAAACAACTCTGGATAGTGCTCTCTCATCTCCTCCTCGGGCTCCCATGTCCACTCCGAGCCTTTGCGGTGCTGCCACTGCACCTTAACTAACTCTACCCTCTTGTTCCTCAGCTCCTTTAACTTGCGATCCAAAATCGCCACTGGTCTCTCAATATAGTTTAGGCTATCGTCAACATGAATATCCTCAAGGGGTACCACTGCTGTCTCATCCACTAAGCACTTCCGCAACTGAGAAACATGGAAAGTGTTGTGGATCTGGCTGAGCTCTGCTGGAAGATCTAGTCGATAAGCAACCCGACCCACCCAGGCCAAAACCTTAAATGGACCAATGAACCTGGGGCCCAGCTTGCCCCGCTTCCGAAATCTGATAACACCCTTCCAGGGTGACACCTTCAGGAGGACCATATCGCCCACCTGAAACTCCAAGTCCGAACGCCGCTTGTCGGCGTAACTCTTCTGCCGACTCTGAGCAGTCTGGAGCGTGCTCCGGACTTGCTGAATCCGCTCTGTAGTCTTGAGTACCACCTCTGTACTCCCCATGACTCGCTGACCGACCTCACCCCAACAGATTGGGGTCCTACACTTCCTCACGTAGAGCATCTCGAAGGGAGGCCGGTCTATACTGGAGTGATAACTGTTGTTATACGAAAATTCCGCTAACGGAAGATACATATCCCAACTGCCACCGAAATCCAGCACACAGGCCCGAAGCATGTCCTCGAGAGTCTAAATCGTCCTCTCGCTCTGTCCGTCTGTCTGAGGGTGGAAAGGGGTGCTGAAATGGATAAGAGTACGCATATCGTCGTGAAACCGCTTCCAAAACCTGGAAGTAAACCGGACATCTCGGTCTGACACCACCGAGACAGACACTCCATGACGTGTCACTACCTCTCGCACATAAATCTCGGCCAACTTCTTGGCCGAGATGCTCTCCTGGATCGGTATAAAATGGGCGCTCTTGGTCAATCGATCGACGATGACCCATATCGCGTCCACTCCTCGTGCGGTCCTGGGAAGCTTAGTAATGAAGTCCATAGTGATATCCTCCCATTTCCACACGGGAATGTCTAGCGGCTGCATCTTGCCGTGGGGCCTCTGGTGCTCTGCCTTGACCTTCCTGCAGGTCAAGCATCTCTCCACGTACTAAGATACATCCCGCTTCATGCAGGGCCACCAGTAATCGGGTCGAAGATCTCTGTACATCTTCGTCGCCCCTGGATGGATGGAGAACCGAGACTTGTGGGCCTCATCCATCAACACCTGTCGTACTCCGCCCCAATATGGTACCCAGACCCTCCCATGCAGGGTTAATAACCCCCGACTGTCGTAATCAAACGAAGCCACTCGACCCACTATCCTTTCGCACTTCTGGCGCTCCTCCTTCAGGCCCTCAACCTGCGCCTCCCTAATCTTCTCCAGCAGTAGAGTCATCACTGTCATCCTCAGACAGATATCTTGGATCGGAGCCGCTACCGCCTTGCGGCTCAGGGTGTAACGCCCCGTTCTAAAAGTATTTATTTATGGATTTCCGAGACCAAGAGTAAGGGCGTTTCTGTCTTTTGTGGGTAATGGGTTTCATTCGAGAAGGTTTCGGACCGGGTTGTGTTGCTAGAAGCGTAGGGCGTCTCGCCACCTTTGCCTGGATATAAAGTTCGTCGGGAACGGACTTAGAATAAATGAGTTATGACACTTTGAAGACATTGACATTTATAGCCCTTAATGGAAAAAGTTGACGAGGAAGGCCATGCATGCAATTTGGGACACGCGTGGGTACGCCCAACGTAGGCTGGGTTACGCCCAACGTAACAGAGTAAATGGTCGCGGGTGCAAGGACGCGTACGCCCATCATACTATAGGTACGCCCAGCGTACGCTCAGAGTCATTAAACCCTAATTTTAGGGCCAGCCACTATAAAAAGAACATAAGGGATCAACCCTAGCCTCCTTATCTGTTCCCTTATCCTCATAAAACCCTAGATAGCCGTTCCATTTCCATTGTTGGGTGTGTTTAGCCTTGTGGAGCTTAGTTTGGCAAAGAAAGCTTAGAAGAAGAAAGAAGAGGTTGGCAAAGAAGGAACCTTGGTGGCTGGAGCTTGTAGATCTGAGATAGCAGCACCTTTTGCAACTATTTTAAGGTATAAAGCTTCTTGCTTGACATCTATTTTGTGTAGATCTAAGTGTTGTGAAGTTTTGACACCATTCTTGTCCCAAAACCCCTAATATGATGCATGATGTGTTTTGGTTAAGATAAGCTATCCTTTCAGACCATAGGAGAGGTCTTGAGTGAGAAAAATGAGGTCCTAATGGCTTTAGTTGTCCCATGTGTGAAGTAGGAAGGTCTTAATGGGTTAAGACCTTGAGTTAAGAGCTTTATGGACGTCAATCAGGATAAAGTTTGAGACTTTATGAGTCCTAGGCCCTTTTTGTCACTAGATATGGCATATGGGCTTAAGTGCTTAAGCCATTAAGCACATGGAAGGATTTTTGGTACAGACGTGCGTACGCCCCGCATACCAGAGGAGTACGCCCAGCATACGCCCTCTGTTGGGTTTTCGAATTTGGGCCGTGAATTATTGGGCTGTTTATGGGCTAGCTGGGCTTGGGCCGTGACTGAACATTATAGATGGAGTAATTTGGGCCCAATAATTATTATGGACCATGGATCTAGGCCCGATTAGAAAGATGGTCCCAATTTAGTAAATTGGGCCAATATTGGGCTTTGCATAAGGACTTGGTTTTGGACTTGGCTCAATAAAAGGAAAATGGATTTAAGGAGTGGTGTGGGCACTTGACCTAGAAGTCATGTTGGACTCTAACTTGGTGATTATCATGTGATAGTTGGGAGTTCGGGTGAGTCAGCGGTCAGAGATTTGCAGGATTTCGGCAGTTGCAAGGTGAGTTATCCTCACTATATCAACAGGGTCTAAGGCACCAAGGCCGACCCTTTATCGGATGGGAATCCGGGTATTTGTTTGATATGTTTTTGAGTTGCTAGATCTACATCCTGGTTTTAGGATGACGTTATGTTAGTGACCTGGTTAGGGTCGGTAT